CATTCGATAGGCAATTCACGTATACTTTTGTCGTTGTGCTTAAATACATACAGCTGTAGTATATATACTCTAGTACATACGTATTCATCTAGTAAAATTACATCCCCCTATGTGTACTTCCTTGATCTATATAGAGGACTACAGTACATGAAGATCATTGTCAAAATTGTAACATTTCTTAACATGACCTTACTTTATAGGCTAACAAATGAAATGGCCAGTTAATTGTTTATAAAATATTGTTTACGAAGTGATTTCAACTTCTTATCTGTCGTTTGAGGTCATCTAAAACCATATTTAGATATATATGTATATAACCGAAGATACAAACACCCTTACACATCAACAAAACCTATTTTATGCTAAAAAAAAAGTGTATTTACTGTCATAAATGACTTCGTTGTAAGGCATTTTTTATGACTGATGGTAATTTCATTCTTTCTTTTAGTGTTCAAACTTCATGACTAGTAATACATATACATATAGTATTTTATGTCCTTGTACAATCATTTTGTTACCTTTCTTACTTACGTGTGTACATATGCACATGCAAATTACACATCAAGATTATATATTCTAGACCTATCTACTGTCTAAGTATTCTATGGTTATGCCTTGAAAAAAGAATCAAACATTCTGCCTATAATGAAAGTGGCTTTTTTTCATATATTCCTATCATTTAGCAGTAGATAAACACTACAGTTGATTTTTAAAAAAAATATAACACCATACGCTTTGGAACGAAATAGACTGGAGACTAGTAATGAAATCCGGGACATACGTCTTCATCCTAAATGGGACTTGTCAGCTGGATGTACCTAGATCTCAGTGATTGGTTGTGTTCCCACTGAGATTCGAACCCAATACCTATGGCTTTAAACGCCAGAGAGTTACTCATTAAGTAACCGAGACACCAAAAGAGACCGATCAATCATTTTTAAATTACAGGAACTGATAGATAACAATCCTTACTGGGATGCGAATACATCTAACTGACAAGTCCAAAATAAGACGAAACGCGCTTCTTGAATTCTGTTTCAAGCTATCATCAACCAAATGACGTAACTATAATCTTCAGGCAATATCGAAGGATCCACATAGTAGCTCATATGTCAACAAAGGTCGATCAATGCAGTCCAAAATAACATCCAGGTAAAAATTGCCTCTACCATCATTTTCCCCCTAAGTAATACTAATTAATAGTAGTAGCAATAGTAATGAGTAATTTCACACAAATAAGGTCTGTTTCCATGTCACCTCCTCCGTAGTTGAATATCTCAAAATAAGTCACTTGAATGACAAATTGACTATTGAAGATATAGCCTTCATCAAGAACTGACATCAAATAGAAAATTGAGAAGACTGTAGAGGAGTGATCCCCATGTGTCACCGTTTTTTAAGGATCCTCAAAAATGCACGTATATCCAACGCTTTATCGAAGGAACTTGAGAACCTTCAAGTGTTGAGGAGACCCTATTACCGAGTTGCTTGGTTCCAGTTGTCAGTATTCACAGCATAGTATGATCATCATCCAATGATGGGCATTGGTCCTTACTTTCTGTGTACTACTTAACTCTGAAGTTCACAACTATTCATTTAGAACTTAGAAAAAGTGAGAAAGGTGAACTGTAACCAGTTTGACACGAGACTCACGTGCCTTTTATTCGAATCCGTTTTGAATCAGTTATTGTACTTTACCCAGTATTCTGGAAAGAGAATGCAGCATCAATCAAATATTTCTTTATGTTTACAGATTTTTCATTTGATGAGAACCATTTATGAAATCATCAGTTGTATTTTTGAAGCCATTTTCACTGTGATTGTTTTCGTGAATATTCCATACAATCTTATCGTAAATAAATAATTGTTTTGTTATGGATAACTATGTCCTTTATGATGGATACGAAAGACGATTTCATTTAAAAATTTATCAAAACCATCATGGAACAAGTTGTCAACATCTAGTCTCGGTTCTTTCGTTGAATTATCCCCTTCCTGGTTTCATGTCAGAATTATTATCTTTGAAAATTATTGACTCTGTATAAATATACACTACTCAACGTTTTTTCAGGTTTAATTCACCGAATAAAGTGGTTTTATTCCTGGTGTGGTACAAGTCACTATCCCCTAACAGTATTTCGTCAATACTGCGTGCACACCCGTAAACCACTTCGTCTTATTAGGATTAACCAGATGAAAATCTTTGTATTAAAGTACAGTAAATTATATAATAATGGGATAGAGCATAAAATGACAGTTAACTTTCCACCCCAACTCCATCGACTTTGAAACGCCCTCCGATCGAGGCGTCGACTTAGAAGTAATTTGACAGACACCTGCTTCAACACTACGCTTTTGGTGCCATAAACTTCTATCAACCTCATTTAACAGCTATATGCTATATGATGAGGCTACATGCCGAGTGATGGAAAGCTCTGTGATGCCTTTGAAGTTTGGACAGGAGTAAGACAAGGTTGCCTACTATCACAGATGATCTTGCTGATTATGGTCGACTGGACTGGATCGGATCATACAAGAAACTGTGAGGAGTGAGAAGATGGGCATACGCTGGATGGACCGATGAAAAGACCCTGAAAGAAGTGGATTTCGCCAATGACGATGATGATGATTTATATGTAATGTGTTGTCGCACAAACTCGAAGATCTGCGGGCGAAAAGTAGCAAGTTGGAAGAAGAGGCTGGAAAGCGAAGACAGGACTTCCTTCAGGTGAATGTAGGGAAGACGGAGGTAAAGGTGATGAAGATACCCAACCAACACCACCAACAGCAATAACAAGCACCAATCGCTATCAACGGGAGAAATCTAAACGAAGTTGTCTCTTTCACCCACCCACCTAGACAGCATCGTTTCAACTACAGACGGCGGCAGAGATGAGGACGTCAAAGCCAGGGTCGGAAAAGCAAGACAGGCCTTCGTTAATCTGAAATCAGTATGGAGATCCATTCCATTCAACTCAGCGCAAAGCGTGAACATGATCCTGATTTTCAGTACTAGTGTCAGTCAAGTCAGTACTTCTATGTGATGGTTGAGAGACTTGGCGCGTCATTTCCAACAAACTATAGACATACATGAACAGTTGCCGACTACGCTCACTCGATACTGAAGATCAGGTAGATGGCCAGAAAGAATAAGCAATAAGGAATTCATTCTGGCCTGGCAACGAACCAACCAACAACCCATCGCCCAACAAATATGCAGAAGAAAGTGTAGATGGATTAGGTTGGGTATACTTTGAGAAGACCATTTGGGGATATCACGCTCCATGCCATGCCGTCGAGTGGAACCCAAATGGAAAACGACGATTCAGGCGTCTGAGCTGATGGTGACATGGAGGAGATCATGCGAAGAAGAAATTAAAGCATGTGGGCAGTCGTGGGGCCAGGTTAAAAGGACTGCAGAGGAAAGAGTGAAATAGTGACGTGCTACTGAAGCCCTTTGTTCCACTAGGAACCCAAAGGACAAATAATAATAATAATACTAACAATAGATTACATAATAACAAACTGATCGGCAGGGAAGGTATAATTTAGTAGAATATGATTCTTAAAAACAACTAATTCATCATAAAACCTAAAAATTGGTTAGTAAGATTATTGGTAAGAAAAACACACACTGACCGATAAAATCAACGTAGAACCTCGCACAAGAGTGCGTCACCTGAAGTTGCCACATTTCACAGAAGTATTTAAAGAACAGGTGGATAGAAATAGATTGATATCAAGGCAGATAAAGTAGTATGAGAGGATAAGCAATCTGAAGGTAAACGTTAGTATGTTAAGGAGTGAAAACACTCAATGAAACAATGAATTATTTCCTTAAAATGTCTTAGCGTTAACTTGTTCTTTGACCACTGTTGATGTGTTTTTTTTTTGGAAATTTTGGGAATATGCAGTCAAAGTGAGTTTTGAGTGATAGTTAATACAACCTCAAAGTTTTTTGTAGATTAACCTTCATATTCAGTGATAACACAATGTTGGTGGTAATAAGGCCTGATAGTATCTGAAGGCATAACGAGATTGTTATTCAACTCATGAAATTATCCTTCGGCACCTAATCTCAGTTAGTTGGACAGTTTGTACATATATCACTTTCATTATGCTTTTGATACTAGGAGATAGAATAGATGTACAATATAGAACCATAGGATGAAGAATACAAGTATCAGGCTAACATCTACTGCTACCTCTTGATCGTATGTGTGGTTTGTTACAAACCTTACTTATTTTGTCATGTTTACTTCCGAATATCGTTGCTTCTTTGCTTTACTGAGTATCAATAAACGTTGTTTGTTTGTGTGTGTGTGTGTGTGTTACATTTTCAGTTATGTTAATCTGCTAACAATTTTTTTGCTTTACGAGTCAATGAAAACTTCAAATCAACTTCAATCTTTTGATTTATTTTCAACTTTGTATTATTCTTGGTGATTGGCTGTGGAGTCCAAAATGCTTGCTTTTTCCTACTTAAGAGTTACCAGCTGGATGTACCTGCACCCCAGTGAGTGTTGTTATCCCCCAGTACCTATCGCTTCAAACACCAAAGCGTTATCCACTGGGTCACTTGGGCACGAGAACTACCTCTTGTGCAACGGGTACCAGGTGTTGTTTGATACTTGTAATCTCCATTCGCTATACTGGGTTGAAAGGAAGCACTCTGGGACGAAGCGCACGTCCTGGATTCCACTACTAGCCACCAACCAGATTACCACTGAAAGCTTTCTTTAGCGCTATATCGTGAACTGACAGAGGTAGGAAATATGGATCATTCTGACCCAGTGGCTCAATGGTAACGTGCTAGACACGGAAGCTGAAGGTCCTGGGTTGGATCCCTGACGGGATGGACGCATGGGTGCGCATTGCTGAGGGACCAGTGTGAAGTAAGAAATGAATGATTACAAAATTCACTTAGTATAAGTTACTAATTAAGTAGTTTCCAAGTGCTTTTCTTTCACTACTGTCTTTTTTTTGCCTTTCAATTTTAGTCCACTATTGATTTGGGTCATGATTGTACTCGTTTGCATTCGGGGACATCAGCAAGTGCACCGATGGCAGCTGGAATCATCGCACTTTTGCTAGAAGCTAAGTAAGCGTTAGGTTACATAACTGTTTATACATTAAACTAGTTTATATAAATATATGTATATGACACTTAACCACTTTAGAGAGTGTGAATAAAAAAGTTCTGTTGAGTAAGAACACTGACAAAATTCAGAGTCTTGTGAACGCCTTAACCAGATAGATGAGCACTTTTGGCATGCGTTTTACATTTGTTAAATGGAAGATGATGCTTCAAAACTAGTCTACGTTGACTTCTCTTTTAAGGATAGAGAGAAAGTCGGTGAGTTGTTTTGACTACCTCACTTTCTTGAAAATTTGTGTCACGCCTAACGAACAGATTGCCAACGATTTCTTTGCTCAGACAGAAAAGGCCCGTTTAACATTTGCCAAGTTATGGTGTTATGAGACATAAAATTACATAATAAAGGTATAGTATGGTTCATATCAATTTGCTTTGTCCTATTGTACAGTTGTGCAACATAGCCATTGAAAGTGGAGTATATAGAAGAGTCAAGCGTCTTAACGATAAGTTTAGTCGTTATCCGTCATGGAATCATCGTTGAAGCAGTATTGAAGTTAGAAGTAAAGTACGATGTTGTACATGTTAAACCACTATATACTCCGGTGTGCAATATTAACTTAGGTAGGATAAGGTTAGAGAAAGGCTAATATTAGTCATATTGGTTCATGAGGTCTGTGACTGCCGGTCTGAGGCATGTAGAGACTTGTACATGGTCTGGATGAGTTCCTCACGATGATAGGGATATGGCTGAAAATAACTGATGATCGAAGCATCAAAATGCACTCAGTAATCTTGTACACATCCGTGCAGTAGGCAGTGGGCCACATGTATTACACGAAGGCTACTGATGATGCTACCTATCTGGCCAAGCCTAGGTAGGTGGAGCTGGGCTTGGACCCGTGACTTTCTGGTTGAAAATTATCTTCCTAGATAGATGAGCCACACCTCTGCAACCATGTTCACTGTCATCCTTAAAGTTCTGAATGTCCTCATTAACGTGCATTTACTTCTCTTCCCGCCTCTCATAAACGTCTGTCCACTGTGCTGGGTTTCTTACTCACTTCAACTCTTCTTTGCATACTTCTGTGGAGTATGACAACTGGAAGCGATACATTTCTCTGTGAAGTTCTACGTTTATTTGCTTATTTATCTGTTATGTGATTGGTCAGATGAAAATCACTACTCATGTTTATGAGTGATAGTCTCACTGTCTACTCATCATCATGGAGATCAATATAAGACTAGGGATTACTGCGTAACGGTCCAAGTCGTCACACCTCATATCAGCTTATCAAGTAACAAGGCAATAAAATGGAAGATGAAGGAGGAAAGAAAAATCAGTCGAAGGAAGTAGAGATATAAAGTGGTAGAAGAGAAGAAGGAAGAATCAGAGGATAATAAGATTAAGTATAGCGGTTAATGTGAAGATTATGTGTGTATGCATCTGTCCACTAACATCAGTTCTGAGCCATATCACCTGGAGTCCCTCACCACTGGTTTCTCTAGTCTGCATCACCCTACATGGGCTGCCCCGGGCTTTTTCCAGCCTTAACCCACTTCGAGCAACATTGTATGACCAGGCAGACGGTGGTTAGGGATATGTAACACATGTCTCAGTTATTTCAGTCGACGAAGGTTCACAAACTTATAACCTGACTTTCATCTCCCTCCTAAAACTCTACGCCTGACTTCTGTGTTACTCACGTGGTGACACAAAGACACATGGCGTATACTACGAAAGCAACGGTGGTCAAACACCTGAACCCTTCTCATGTCTTCTTCTCATTGTCTACTAACCTTCTTAGTCAGACTGTTTAGTGAGTTCAAACAATTGTATGCTTTAATCTAGTATTATCACTTTTTGTTACTCACTATGAAACATAATCACTATTATAATTCTTGTTCAGTTTATGTTTAAGTTGATAAGGTCAAATTCAAGTGGTTTAACTTCTTTAACGTGTATGCGATTATTTTTTCCCATTTGATTATAACTTTACAGGGCCAATAGTATACAATTTGAGATTTTTATAGAGCAAATATTTCTTAAGACACATTTAGTTAATCAGCATATGTAAAGGGTTCTGATAGAACAATCTCTTAAATGGATTACTAATAGTATAAACTTAATTAGAAAGTTACAAAGTCTCTCAATACTGTTAACAAAACCTAGACTGAAATGTTTAAAATTACCATGAAGTTCTTATAACTTGGAGTATTGAAAAGCGAAGAATTCAGGTAGCCATTATTTCTAGCATTGAATGTTCAACTATTTCATTATTTCATGTAGTTCTTTGATGGTTTCATGTGCGAATTAAGTTGCTTATCAGTAGTAGCTTGTTATTCATGTTGGTGACTTTAAAGGATTTGATTCATTTCAAAATAGTTGTATACCTCAAGACCATCTAACCACTCATTGTTAGGGTACTATGACATGAGTTCAAACCTTGGTGTATCTGCTTAGCGATTAATTAAATGAAGCCAAACATAGTTGATTAGATGCAGCTTTTAGTTCAGTTTGGATGTTTGTGAGGATTTGTTGGTTGATTTCAAGTTGATATTCATCATGGACTAACATCAGTTAGAGAATTTTAGGAAACCTAGGAGCACTGAACATCTGTTCTGTCCTTACTCAACAGCGGCATTGGAAGGCGTTCGCGCTATATCGTGAAGTGACAGAAGTTGGAGGCGTGAATCACTGGATTCTGAACCACTAACTCAATGGTAGTGTGCCGGCCGGCGGACCTGAGGGTTCTCGGTTTGATCCCCGGCGGGGTCATGGGGCGCACTGTTGAGGAGTCCCATATTGGGACGAAATAGCTGTCCAGTGCTACCAGGTTTTCGACAGTTCCGCAACTGATATCAGTCCGTGATAAATACTACCTCAAGACTATAATCCCCATTCATCTCAAAAATATATAATTAATATTGTCTAGACATCTACTGTTTGCGTGGTTTATTTCCTAATTACCGCAGTCTACAGAATCCACCATGATTGGTTTAATGTTTTGTATATATGATAAAATTTATGTATATTAGCGTAAAGCCTGATGAGACTGAATATTTTTTGCAAAAGACTTAGAGTTGTGTTGAGATTTCATCAGAAACTAAAACATTTGGAATAATGCGACCTTCCAAATAAGTGAAGTTGTCGACTTATTCTACCGCTTTACACCTTATCTTTAAACTGGGAGTAGATGCTAACCACTCCTGGAACATCATGTTACATTTGACAGGTGCTAACCGTTTGCCAAAAATACTCAGGTTTTTGCTCAAGGCCTTCAGAAGAATATGAATTTTGTCATCGTCTTCGCCTTAAAGGTCAATATTTTCCGCTTACTCCAAGTCCACCGGATGCCATCTGAGAAGTAGATCAATCCATGTGAAGTTTGATATACATAAAGTTATGTCCATTAGTAGGTCTGTAACGAGGTTAAATAGGGATGGTGACAGTAGAGATCCTTGTTAGACACTACTACTTGTCCTTACTTCGGACAACAGCTGTCAATAAGTCCTACACAATTGTATGAGTTTGATTAGACAGCCTTGATTTGCATTACATACTTGTTCGTTACTCTCTTCACGGTCAGACACTGCTCCATGAACTCTTAGTTGACAAAGTTGAGTGTCAACTTCAAGTCAATAAATATAGCAAGTTTTGAGCACCGGTATTTATGTCTGTCACAGGGTGATTATCTGGTCAATACATAGTCTTAATGTACCGATTTTTTAATTATTTATTATGCTAACTGGTTTGATGATGAAAGAATCTATGAACAGTTATCGACACTTTAAGGACATCAAACAGTTATTCTTAATCCTCTACTATAACAATCATTTCTTACTATATCGTGTTAGTTATATTTATATCTTAATCCTACATGTTATGAAGTTACTGTTTACAGTATTGTTTTCACTACAGAAAAGTTGTCATCATTAATTTTCAAAAATGAACAGCTGTTTGACCTTGTTTTAAGACTGTTTGAAATAGTGAATAATTTTGTAGATTGACTAAAAAACTATAAAGAAGAATTTGTAACTTTAAAAGAATTAATAGTGTCGTTGGTAGAAGTTGATCAACAGTAGGAATATCAGATTTCTGGAATAGCAAGTTGAGTTTGTTCAACAACAATTTGACCTAACATATTGATGGTGTTTGGGTGTATTTTTGATTGGTAAAAAATTCTGGTTTATACACTGTTTTACAAGTATTCCATAATATATATTCTGTTTTGTTAATATCAGCTTGTTTTGACGAATAGTAGTTGTAATGTACTACTGTACAGTCAGCATTCATGATTTAATAGCCACATCGGTATATTATACAATGACCAGTTTTCGTACATCAAACACTTTTGAAGGAGGTAAGTCATCACATGAATAGCCTAGTGCTTAATGTTCTTAACTTAAACATTGAGTAAGGCTATTTCAAGTCACTGAATGAGAATGAATTTTGTTTTAGTTTACGGTTACGCCTTGTTACTGAGCGCTAAACAGCACGAAAGCGAAGGTTTGAAACTTCCTAATGTGATTAGTCCCAAGAATTGTCGAGTAGACTTCAACTGGTACTCAGAAGTTGGCTTCTGTATAAGTCTCCGTTCAGAAGACCAATCGGTATCATAAAATTAATCCATGATATATTTCGAATTTTTTCAGCTTATCGAAACATTTTTAATTTCACTGTTATCCATCATTTCATTTCTGAACGAAATGAAACATCATCATCATCAACAACAAAAATCCAAACAGTTTCCGAATATTCTTCTCATTTCCAGTTAATTTCATTCACATTTTTAATTCAATGAACACAGTGGAAAATGCATCTTGACTATTACATATGGAACTGTTAAGCATATACGCGAAATCATCTAACCTATACCTAACCGTACTCAGACACCTTGTGCACACCCGAACTGTAGGCAATGAGCCACATCTATTTTGTAAGGGCTAGTGACATTATCTGGTTGCCCAAACCTTGGTAGGTGAGGCGGGGTTCGAACCCATAA